TATTTCCATCCAGAATGATTGCTAACTAAGGTCAAGGTGTTTTAGTTGTTTATCTGAAATATCATTTAGAATAAGTGTTTCCAACTGCACAGTGAAGGATACTACATTGCACCACATTTCCCTGATGCACAAGCTGCTGCCTATACTATATATCCCGATAACTCTGGGTGGATGAGCTACAAGGGGGTGTGTATGTGATGGTGTCATCTTGGCCCAGATTGGAGAAGTGTGCTCTCAGTTGCTAAAACCCATGGTGGGGCATAATTGTGGCATACCACTGCTGCAGAGGGTGACAACGCTGCAGTGATTTTGCTTCAGAGCAAAGACCATGGTCAGGCTGTTGGGGGAAGTAGGACTTGAAGGATTTTGCTGGTAGGATCACCAGGAACAGACGCTATGATACAATGGGAACTTTACAAAACATACAATGCAGTCTTAATGGTGTGTACAGCTTTCATAATATATCTGATTTTAACTTTGGGCCATAGTTCTTCTAATATAGCAAATATTAGTGTGACACATTGAAGGTTTTTTTGTAATGGGTGAGATACACAAAGGATTAATTCACACTTTCCACGCATGAACAAATACACATGCCATTTTTGCATATATTGGATCATTTGGAGCATATCCACGTCGATGTGAATTGGCTGCCCTATGCTCAACAAACGCAGACAAGAAGCTGATGCAAGTGGGTCTAATGTTTTTTCACACGCTATAGCTCTTGCCCTGTTAGGGGTACCAGTGCACAATTTTTCACATGTTAACACAAGCAGCAAGTATGAATGGGGTCTCAATGTGACATTTTGTATAGGGATGCTCTGCATCCTGTGACAGGGAGTCAGAATAGAGCAGATACAAGCAGTCAGTGATCAGTGAACGCTGACTGCTTCTAAATAATTGAGGACATAGTATGTTTACAGTGTCTCCAATTATGAATGAATGGGAAGTGCTATACAACACTTCCTGTTCATTCATGATTGTAGATATAGTAAACATACTATCTTCATAAGACTCTCCTCAATACCTTTTTCAATTTTAAAAGGGAAACATCAGGAGTCTGTTCAGACCAGAGCCCCTGACAGTAAAGTTAAAAATATTTATTAAAAAAAATTTAATTAAAAAAATAAAAAGTTTATAAAACAAATAAATGAAAATAAAATATCTTAGAAAAATTAAAAGGTTAGAAAAAATAATTTTCGGTTTTGGCCTGACATTTTTTTTATTTTCGGTTTCAGTTTCAAATTTGCATTTTGGTGCAACTTTAATTTTTTAGAATGTTGGAGGGAAGACATTAATGTTGGTATAATTATGAAATCTACTTTACTGTTTTGAAAAATACATGTATTTCACTGTATAATTGGCTATATATAGATAGATGGGGGCAGCCATAGTATATACATATACCAGCACTACTTCCTACTTAGTTGGTTGTACTGAGGCATGTTTACTTGCTCAGCCGCTGTGAAGTGCTGAATGCTGTGCTGCAAGTCAGCACTCAGCACTGCTAACTTAGTACTCGCAGCAGAAGTGAATGTGAATGCAGAGCGCTGAGTGTGACGGAGAAGGTGTGGACAGAGCACCAGCAGCCATTTTAACTGTGGGCACATCTGGCAGTTCTGGAAAAAGATACCTGAGCCACAATGGAGGAAATCAATTCAGCGTGGGAACCTACAAATTTTGGTGGAGGAGTACACCAAATATTCATTGGAAAATGGTATTTGTTTGTCAAAAGTATTATCCTCCCATATTTTGCTTACCACTGCGCAGCCGAACCGTTCAGTGAAACTTCTGCAGCGAACTGGAGTGCTGCAGAACAGCTACTCAGCGCTTGGCTAAGGAACTGAACATGCCTCTGGCTTCAATGAGCTAATGCTTTTGACATCAGCTTAAGATGCATCTGAGATTATTCAAAACTCATTGCAGGTTCAGTTGACCTGGTTGAGTTAGGAATTAATTAAGGCCATTCGTTACCCCACTCAAATCTTACGTTGATGCATGTTTTTTACTTTTCATTTATATATTTTATAGACACGACTAGATGTCACTCCTAAATAAGGAACTATGTTTATGGGTGTGTCCTTGGTTGCCGACTAATCAATCCCATATAGGAAGAATTTTAGATAAGACATTTGTATGTAATGAGGTTTTTTTACCAGTACATGGCTTTATATATGTACTCTTCTCATGCGTATTATCAATAAATCTTCTACCTGATCAACCATTTTAAAAATAAACTCTATGTGGCTTATCCTGTAGCTGGTTTGACCTCAGGAATTGTTCAGCAAGGGTGGTGAATAGATAGCCACTAGAGCAAGGGTGGGCAAACTCTGGCCCTCCAGCTGTTGTGGAACTACAATTCTCATGAGGCATTGCAAGATTCACACAGGCATAACTCCCAGAGACAGATGCGTGATGTAATTTGTAGTCTTACCACAGCTGGAGGGCCAAAGTTTGCCCACCCCTGCACTAGAGGAAGCATCCGTCCATTAGTATAAAAAGAAGAGCCCCTAGCCTGCTTGTAAAAATATGACATTCACATTACTTTCAGGTAACGTATGATAACAGCTGAAACTGAGTGCCCTTTTGGTTACTTTTCCTTTAAATAAATATGAGTGGCCCTTGAGAAAGCAGAGTGTTGCTCTTTATCAAGATCATTTTCTTCTGCCCCTGTGTAAAAGTTAGCAATAATCACTGTTGCATCATGCAGTCGGTGTTTTACGCTCAGCCTCCCTTTATAGCTTTTGTGGTCTATTACATCCGTATTTTATTTAAAATAAAAGGAAATGTGCTGAAGTCCTGGGACCACTTAGAGAGTTATATTAAGGGCTGATAAGTAAAATCTGCACCGGTCTAAAATGTGTTATTTATGTTCTCCACGTCATAATTAAATCGGTTTTTAATGGCGTTTTGCGGTTTCCATATGAAAAAGTAATCTTTCCAAATAACTCCATGGCAGATGAAGCTCAACTTTGTATGACTATTTTCTCCAGGTTTAATATTGGCCAGAAAGACCCGCAGTGATTGAGGGCTGAATTAGGATGCAATTGTAACTAAACTCCCTTGGGCACCATTGCTTCAAATCCAATTCTCTCTTGATATACAATAGATGACGCTTGTAGGATTTCTCTGTGATGAATGGGCGAGGAACCTGTACAGGCGATTGTGAAATAAATGATTAAGCAGCGAAAAGCCTAGTAGCTGTAAATAAATAACCATACAGATATATATTTTTTACCCACACGTCTCTCCCTCTGTATCGTAGGAAGATTGGACCCCATCTAACCCCAATATCCACCCCGTTAAATCCCAGCTTTCATTTAGTAGCTGACAGGTGATGGTAGAAGGAACTGCTTGTTTATATGCTTTTAATGTGTTTTAAAAATGGGAATCATGAGTCTAGAAGACAACACCCCCTGTTCTATCAAAGTTTGTGACTGCATTAGAATGTGTGACCGGTGATGTGGTCACATTTTAATGTGATCCCGCCCACTTTTTTAGCGGTGGAATATGTGACCGGCAAAAGGTGAAGAATTCCAACGCTTTGTCTGCTGTTCCAGGGCAGATCGGCATTGCAGATGGCATGTGCAGGAGAACCGATCTGTCCTGGAACAGCTGATCGGTCCTGGAACAGCTGACAAACCATTGGAATTCTTCACCTTTTGCCGGTCACATATTCCACCGCCGAAAAATTGCCGGGATCACGTTAAAATGTATGACCACGTGACCGGTCACACATTCCAACCCAGTCACAATATTTGATTTACGAATCTATGGCAATTTTAAGAGGTTAGGTTGTGGGACAGTTGGGTATAGCAGGTACAAGTGTTCTACCAAGAAGTTAAGTTGGTAAAAAAAAGCACATAGGTACATATTTAAGCTCCCTTTGAGGAAAGTTGTGGCTGGATGGATGTCATAAATAAAGTGTATATGAACCCAAAACCAAAAATGTAATATATTGCAGCTTACCAGTCCTTAGATGTGGTGGTTGCCTAATGCAGATACACTTTAATGCCACTTGGACCAGTCAAGTCCTGGAAGCAAGCCCTGTGGCAGGCAGGGAAAGTGGAAAGCACATGAAACCATTTCAGTCCTCTTAGGTAAAAGGGAGGCTTAAAGGATCGGTCCACCCAACACTCATATTTCAGTATTTGATTGTTGCCGTAGTGTTAAGCTACCTAATAGTTTCTTGTATCTCTCCGTTTTCTTTGCTTTTGATCCTGGGTCTGCATGCCTGCTGTGCCCATTATGAGGGGGTCCTTGACCCCCTGCTGGATTTTACATTATGGAGACTGCCATAGGGAAAACCTATTTAGAAGATTCTAAAGTAGGCCAGAGCAGAGCCAGGAACTATGGCAGGTGATCTCACTGACAGAGACCTCAAGAGGTATAAAAAGCCAACAGGTTACTAAGACCAACAGATTCCATCCATTTAGCTAAATATTACAGTTGGGTGGGGGGTGACCTTTTAAAACTGTCTGCTTAGCAGTCTCCTTTAACTTGGTAGCAAATTCTTATAATATGAGAACAATTTCTAACATGACAGTCTCTTGCAACATGCATTTCTCTGTAACTTAATGCTCTCATGAGCTGTGCAGAAGTCTCTTGTAATGTAGCTTTCTCAGAACAGAGAATGTTTCTCAATGATAATATCATATTTGCGAGTACAAGTTTTGCTGGTTCGAGGGTCAGGTTGCAGGTATAAGTGGATTCAGTGGCAGGTACGAGATGACAGGACCTCGGTATGAGTCAGACATAAATCTACATAAACCTACAGAGAGTTTTTTAAACCCACAAGCAGAGGCAGAATGGCAATGTTATTAATCAATATCTCTATAGTTATGTAATCTATTAGGTTATTGTCTACAGGTCTGTTTTACAAAGTTTGATGCATAATTATTGTACATTGAATTCTTTTTTATATTTTTGCTGGTTTGCTATGTCACCTGGAGTTTTTTTAGGGGTTATTGTGCTGACATTTTCATTGCTTTGTCTTTCAGCTCTGCGGATGCGGATTGCTGGGGGTTGGAATATGGCTGTCTGTATCACAAGGAAACTTTGCAACATTTTCTCCCAGTTTCCCATCGCTTTCAGCAGCAAATCTAGTGATCGCCATCGGCACAATCGTCATGGTGACCGGCTTCCTCGGTTGTCTTGGTGCTATCAAGGAAAACAAGTGCCTCCTTTTAAGTGTAAGTTGCAATACAATTTAAGACCCTTCAACTTGAATTCATATTTATGTGCACAATGTTTACAGTTATAAGCAATTATGAAAAGTGGATGATGAACTTCCGGACATTTATGTCCTAGCATGATGAAGATTAGGTCAGTGGGAGTGCTGGAGAGTCATATTCCATTTTGATGCCCTAACCTGATGCTAAACTCATCCCAGGCTTGATCAGGACCATTCATAATGGATAAAGATTATAGTTCAAGGATGCAGGAACCACATCAGCAACAGGCAAATGAGGGTAAAAAACTGCTGTTCGCCTAATATTAGAGTACTTCACCTGTAGATTTTTACTTTGCCTTTTATCTGAAAAGCCCTAAAGGAGGCAAAGTGGCACCCATCAACCTTCACAATTAATTCCGAGAAAAACAAGCATTGAAAGTGACCGCTTTTAAGAAGAGTTCATTGGAACCAGGCATGGAGATAATGAAATATACAAGGAAACAAGCCTAACTATAGTACTGTATGCCACAACTATGTGCCTCAACAACACAGGAGCCCCATACTATCTGGCTGATACATTTTTTATATATAAGGGTAGATGGAGTAAACTGGGGAGTGCGAGAGTCTTGCATCTTGTGGATAGGCAGTGCCAACTCCACAAGAAGGAACACAGATTGACTATATGCTATAGATTCTGTAAGGAATAAGGTGCTATCCAGTTTCCTCTATCCACCATTGTGAAAAGAATCAGTTCTGGTGCCATCATCTCTGGCAAGCAGATGATGGACCACCTATGGTTCACTAACAAACATTCAAGTCCCAATAATCTCACTCTATCTGTAGAATAATTTATGTTTCCTTATAATAAAAGCAACAGAAGCATTGGACACTCTACTGGGTGATGGCATATGAGAACGTTTAGAGGAAGATCCCAGGGATGGAGTCTATAAGAAACCAATTGTGTTTAGCCAATCATTTCCTCTCATTAAAGGATGAGTGTATGTCTGTCTTGGGTGAACTCATTTTTCATGCCAGAGTGAATGTTTAGTAAGTTACTATTTTATAACAAGTAATTTCACATAGTCACATTGCTTTGTACATGAACTTTTCTCTTGTTGACTTTTTTTTGCAGTTTTTCATCATTTTGCTGATTATTCTTTTGGCTGAACTAATACTTCTCATCCTATTCTTTGTCTACATGGACAAGGTAAGCTTTTAATGTCTGTTGCCTACTACAAATAAAATACATGTTCATGCAATATCTACCAGCAAATAGTACTAAGCTTCAGAGGCGTAACTAGTACCTTCAAGGTCCCGGTGCAAGAAACCATGAAGGGCCCCCCCAACCCCCCGCTGCCATGGGAAGCCACTATATACAGGCACCGTGTGGTTAACAGGAAGGGTGCCGAGGTCTCCAGCAAGCGCATTTATTTATAAAGTATTAGTTTGTAATTGTTAATTGTGACCGTTAATAATATGCCATCTATGGCAATAAATTATGGATGGCATATTATTAACGGTCACAATTAACGATTTGAACTAAATACTTTGTCAATAAATCCCGGTTTCCTCAATAACACTGGTCTGTGTGCAAGCGCAGATGCTGAGGGCGGCAAATTTGACTAGGTTGGCTTTCCCGACAGAACCAGTATCTGTGCTTAATATCGGGGAATTTTCACAAGTATGAGTACTCGTGAAAATGCCCAGTATTGACACTGATGCATCCATACTTAATAATATAATCTATTGCTGGGCCTTGTAGTCCTGCATAGTTGTTGCTATTCTGCATTGCTGTATAATCATTATACAGCAATGTAGAATACCACCAGCTATGCAGGACTACAAGTGCCAGCAATACATTATATTGAAAATCAGCAATGCTTCTGCACCCCTTAACAACAGCATGGCAGATGGCCAGCATTTTTGCTACTTGTGCCTCTCCAGTACAGACAGCAAACACCTACCCTTCTCTCCCTGAACCTCTTTTTTGTAGTTGCCAGAATTGTCTTTGAACAAGTTCTCTGCCATACTGCAGTAGGAATAATCCATGCAATTGGATATATAAACTCTTTTTTTCAGAGGTCAAACATTATACTTCCATCCTAGTGATCACAGTGGCAACAACAGGTGCACTCTCTCCAGGTGCACTCTTTCACTCTGCAGGGAGGTCCAAAAAACTTCTGTCCTTGTTTTGACCCCATGAGAGTGTAAATATAAAATCCCCCGGGGAAGCAAGGCTAATGATTCCATACTCTGCTGAGATAGGTGATACTATTTAGCACCTAGGTCTTCTTATTTGCAGTCTCTTCTAGGTAAAAAAAAAAAAATGTCAGCTGTCAACAAACTATTTTAAATCTGAACTGACTTATGCTAGAGGCTTTCTCTCTTACTCTCTCTGCTCTCTGTGTGAGCCTGCTGCTGGGTGAAAAGGCTGGCTGCCGATAAAACACTAAAAAGACATATGCTTCCTGTTAGCCAGGAACTCACATAGGTTTAATTAGTAGCTCGGGCAAGCAGATGTTTTGTTTTCATTTATGCTGTGAACGTACTGTACAAAGCCTTCCTTTTTCGAACTCTGTTCATTTATTCCTTCCTAAATAAAAGTGCAGGATATGATGCAATTTAAAAAATATTAAAAAAAATATCACAGGTTAGATGGAAGGTTTGTGTAAAAAACAAAGCAAGCATAATAAATTAGAAAAAAACAAAAGAAAATTGTTTCTTTTTTTTTTTTGCTGTCTTATTGCTTTTAAGATTTTTCTGGGGAAGGAACAAGTACTATTGAGGAACAATCACTTTTCTTATCGCTACCGGCGTTCCTGCATTTATGTACAAGGCATTTGCATATCAAAGTGGAAGGATGTTTATAAGGATGTCTTATTTGGAAAAGCAATTGCTGTTGCATCTAACAGGATTTGAGAGACTTAATGATGCCGTAGAAGAACTTCAAAGTTATGGCAGCGATACTGAGCAAAAGTAGAGTTTGTGATGACGGACAAAGTAATGGGTCCCATTTAGGCCAATTAAAAATCTATTAAACCTACAGGGAGATGAAAGTTTACTGCTACAAATTCTGTTCCTTGCCCCAGCGTTTGAAAAACTTATAGGTGTTGTCTCAGAGGACTGGTGCCAAGAAGCTGTGACTAGTATCTTGTTACTTCACTTGTACAGGAGGCAGAGATAAATGAAAGCAGAATAGGGCCCTAGGCAAGGAAGCAGTTTTGCCTTCCCCCACCCATTTGATTGACATTTAGACTGAAATAGGCATAGAGAAGCCACCTTATTTGTACTGTCTGTACTAGCATGACCTCATCAGACATCAGTTGCCTACAAGTGTATCTTCCCTTGTGAAGTGACAGGCAGTGGTGCACCTGTAACCAATTGCACTGACCTATGTTTACTGCAGGAGAGTGAAGGTTGTAGCTAAATCACCCCTGGACATCTAAGGCTGGGCACACACCTTACAACCATCGCAAGACTTTTGTCTTGGGATGGTTGTAAGGTACTTAAAAAAACGTACGATCTGCCTATCTTGCATAGGCAGATCGTACTTGCGATGATCGCAAGCCACGCCCCCTGAGGGGCGGGCTTCCGATGACCGCAATGCCGAACGGGCAGTGTGCGCTTGCGCACACCGGCCCGTACGGCTTTTATCGTACGGACATGCCACAAACCCGCCGAACATCGTACGATGCTCGGCGGGTTTTCGAACATGTCCGTAAGTTAAAAGTCGTGCGACCTTACAGTAGTAGAGGTCGCACGGCTTCCACACACCTTACGATAATCGTACGATCGCGGGATTTCCCGCGATTATCGTAAGGTGTGTGGGAACCTTTACATGTTCTAGGCTTCTGCCTAGGTTGCCATGTGGATGATCTGGCTCTGATAGAAACAGTGTAGGGTCCCCCTCAAAATCCATATAAGACCCTAATCCTTGATGAGGGTCTGGATTGGATTTTGAGCAGGAAACTTGCACAAAAAAAAACAAATAAAATAATATACCAGACCCTTAACCTAGCATGCAGCCTGGCAGGCAAGGAAAGGGGGAGCAGTGAGTGTGCAGTCTCCCAAGCCATACCAGGCCACATGCTGATGAGAACAAGGGCCTTATCCCAACATCCAGTTCCAAAGAGGATGTAGGGGTCTGCAGAGGGGCTACTTATCAGAATCTGGAAGCTCCCTTTAAAATAAGGGGACCCCAAGATATCTGGCCTTGTCCCTACATGAATTAGTAAGGTTTACAAAGTAATTTAGCACACCATCAAAAAGTCCTTTATTAAAATAAAAGTCCCACAATGTAAACCTATAATCAATCACATCATTCAGTGGCATAGATTCATTATCAATCACATTGAACGAAGATCCAAAAACTCTCCAGCCCAAAAACCCACTCTCACCACAACCATATTTCGTCAATGATTTCAGAGAGCATTCCTGGCCCTTTTGTTTACATTCAGATGCTGGCTGGGGAATCCATGAACAGCAGCTGAATGTAAACCGAGGAGTCAGGGAGGTCTCATTGGATGCTAGAAAGCAGATGGCTGCCAGTTTCTGGCTACCAATGGGGGGGGGCGTAATTGCACTGCCATGAACGGGAAGCTGTCACATTCAGCGGTGGTACTAATACCGCCACTAAATGAATGACTTCCGGTAGCAGACATAGATTCGCTTCAGTGGCGGGCAGACAAGCCATTTAGTTTGTCCATTTGATAAACACAAATCAGCCAAAGTTTGTCACCGCAAACTCAAATCTCCTGTACCTGTACATAAAAGGTAGCAGTCTAGCTGGGTAGAGGTTGGGTTCCAGACTTGTGTTAGCCAGTGAAAATACTTATGGGTTTGTCCATTAGTGGTGGCCACAGGGTGGCAAATGTGTGCTTAGGAATGACTGGCAGAAAGCTATCTGCCCAGCCTTAAATGAGTAGCCCAAGTCTGGTGACAGTACTGCTTTCCTCTTCTCCGTAGCAAAAGAAAAAATCAGTACTGATGGTAGGACGATTTTGCATCTTTTACTCAAATGAGAACCTGACTGCCTGAAGCACTTGTCGCCCCCTAGGAGTTAAGAAAGAGCTCGATAATTGCAAGTGATGTTCAAAATGAGGAGCATCACTTGTAATTACCGGCTGTCTGTGAACACCTTAAGACAGTGCAGAGAAAAATGAGTATTTTCCAACTGCAATAGCCGATAATTAGATTATTGCTGTAATGTGAGCACAGGACTTTCCTTTTGCCATTAAGTGTTCTTACATATATTATCCCCATTTGAGTTTACTAGTGAAGACTTTACTTCCTCAAGTTACCACCACTCTCTGCACCATTGTACTGTGAGTGCACAGTGCCATGGAAACACACCCACAGGGGGTAGGTCCATGACACCCTGGGCCAACAGGAAGTGGGTTGAAAGATGCTGGGTATTATTTAACTCCGGAAAGGACTAATGTTGGGCCTTGTAAAGGTGAGTCTTCAGTGGATGCCAAAGAGGAGGTGAATATTGCAAACAGAGCTGCACTTTTTATTTTTAAATTAGCTTGGCTACCTATTTCAAACTAAAAATTACTTGGATTTAATACAGATTCTATATAATTGGGCACTGGGGAGGAGCAGAGCTGACCCTCAATGCCCTGCACTTGCTGGTTCCAATTTATATGATAAATAACATTGTGAAGGTCAGTCAAAGAACATTGTTACAAAGTCCTGCCTGCCACTGTTTCTGTATTACCAGCTGCAATTGCTAATCATCCTTTTAGTCATCACTAACTTATAATTTACCCATCAATTAACCCCACCTAAAAAAAATTCTGTGTGTATAATGAGGATTCTAAAAGTATCATATCCTAAGAAGAGGAGCTCCATAAAATCCAGATGTTTATTGTCCATAAGTTGGGAGCGATGCTCAATTGGCTTTTCATCAGGTGCTCTCGGTTCGCAGACCTTGCATTAAGTACGCTCCACTGACCATTAATTGAGAAATACTCCTTTGACTAGGCTGCTGTTGAGAGCATTAGCGGGGAAGAAATGCAGCTAACATGCCATTTTGGTTGAACTGATGCCCTCTTTTAAACAAGCGGATGTTTTAAAAAGCTATCCTTGAAAAGTCTGCTCACGGTCATGGCCCATGTATTTGACTTTGTCGACCAGGTTAAAGGTCAGTCTGTGCCTCTGGTTTTTCTTGTGACTTTAAAATCTGGTCAGGCTTACTGAATGTAAAGGGCTTTTCTTACCTTATCAATCTCCTCTTGAACCTCCCATGTTGTGAGAGAGGTATAGGGGCTACCATTGCTGGTGACCTTATAAAAATTATAGTTGTCTGTCTTCCGACCCAGAACATGCATGCTGTAAAAGAGTGCAAAAAAAGTGCCAGAATTCCTTTCCTCTATACTTGTTGCAGTTTAGTGACTCAGAAAGAGTTGCCCATTCAGGGCAAAGAGGCCCTGTCTTTGTAAAAGGCCTCCGACCTATTTTTACCTGGACAGTACACCCTTACCTACAGTATCCTTTGTTTCAACCAGCGACAATACCATGGTATGGGGGTGCATGTGACCCCCTCCCATGTAACAGTGCTGAGGTCTAGCAGCCAAACACTAGGCTTGGGCACTGCCATATGACATAGGGAGTGACATGACCATTTCCCCTAGCATCTGACACCTGCCCACACTGGGGATTTTAATGTCGAAAGAAGGAGTGCTCAGTGCTGTGTGAATTCAGTTTATATTTTCCTTACAGCTTCATTTGCTAAACAAGCTAAACTCCAGGTAAACAGACAAAACACATATAAAGGAGCTGTTTTACCTGTCGAATGATTTGTATTTCTGTCCATGCAGTTCTTAGGGAGGCAGGGCAGGACACAACCTATTTTTCTGTGCTGCAATTAAGTAACACTTACAAGTATTGCCCTCCCCTAGCTTGTGACTGGACCGAAAAAGGAGAAGCAGCAGAATGATGATCTTATCCCTCTTTCACTCTGATTCTGCTCCAATCAGCATGTTCCTTGTTAGCACATGAGCACAGCTGATTGGCCCCTTGTGCAGCATCTCCCTCCCCACAGGGGATTGTAAGAGGCTGAGACCAAGTCATATGCATGTACTAACACTGTTTGTATTCAATAAATACATTAAATTATATATTATTGTGTATAAAGCTGCATTAATTGGTGTTTAATTTCTGCCTGGAGTTCAGCTTTAATGGCATATACAGTAATTATGAAGCAGTTATATTGTTTTATTGTTTGAAAAAACTTAGTATAAGCTGTAATTTTCATTTAATTCGTTTTTTTTTCTTAATCTATAGTTATCATAAGTTTGAAACTTTGCTAAGCTATTAACTGCTGCTATACATCTAGATCACCCCTCTAAATTCGGATGTCCTCTGCCCTCCTGCTCGCCATAAATCACGAATGTCATTTTTAATTTATTTATTTAACCTTACTGGTCTATTACAGAATGTAAATACTGGCACAGAGGTCAAAGTGACTTATGGATTTCAGGTGGAAATGTATCTTTTATTTCCAGTCTATGTCACCTTCCTTAATGAGGATGACATTATATTTTGCAGTAGAGGAAAAAACTCAAGTTCAGTTTATTAAGCTGTCACCTAGTGGATAATAAAGCTTTGTCAGAGGCAGATACCGGGTTGGTAGTAGGAAGCTTTCTCTAAAACATATGAAAGGTTAGGACAAATTAGGCCTCTTCGCCTGATATTTCTTACTAGGCAGTAGAAGTGTAAACTCATTAGGATAATGGCATAGTGTTATCTGGGTCTATATATATATTACCCAGAGAAGTGCAACGTAAAGTGTATCCTTCATTCAACTTGAATTTGACTTAAAGGTGAACCTCCATGAATATGGATTGTCTGCTTAGATGACAACCCCACACCACCTGTATAAAAAAGTACATAAACAATTACAAACATGACCTAATTTAGATCCATTTGGTTATAGTTAAATTTGAGTCCATTCAAGTCCTCATTCCATTCTTCTAAACCCCAATGAACGGAGGAGTTTTGTAGATTCCGAAACATGCTGGCTGTTTTTATTTGACAGTAATACAAAGCAAATTGTAATTATTTTTCGGGATTCTTTTATGTTGTGATTTGGTGCTCACCTCTATGTCTGTACTTTGATTTGCTTCCAGGTTTCCACTGAGGGAGGGCTTTGTGTTTAAGAGCTGCCTTACCAGATTCAGTGAGCTTGTTGAAGATTTCCTTGTGTTTGAACCATTGGAATAAGCATTGAAAGCCCAGAGACTCTTAAATGTGTTTTTTTCTGGAGTTCACCAAACTAGAATAAAACATTTTGGCTAGAGATACACTTTTTACTTAATTTCATTAGGCATTTGTTACTGAAAAGAACTGCTGCTGATTGTAGATATAAAGGAATGTTGGGATGTGTTTCAGAAAACATCAGCTAAGTCTGGAACGGTTAGCTTGCTTTGCCCCCTTTAATATACTATCCTTCTCTTCTTTTCCTTGCTGCTCATCCACCAAATTGAAGTACTTAGTAATTCTGGATATGTGGAAGTATATGACTCTCCCTTTCCTCCAATGGTGCAGCACAGGGTGTCTGAGTAGCCAATCACCAGGCCCAAGCACTCTCACATTAACACAGGGGATGAGTTCTTAGCACTGTATAAACTCTGACCGATCACAAAGCTTCTTCCATTTCTACCTGTTGGCAAATGATTGCATACCTGAGAAAAAGGGAAACCTTCCAGCACAATGTATTTAGGCAACAAACGCACCCCTGCCATGCCCCCAGTGATTCAGACCATTAAGACTTCATACGCAAAGATGATTGGTTAAACCCTTAATTGTTTTTTTCACCATCACTTTTCCTTTATACTGGCTTTTCAAAATAGCAAACAAGATAATTAAGATATACAATGAAGGTTTTAATGCAGAATAACACTTTTGTTAGTTAAATTGAACCTTTTCATCAATATTTGTACATCAGACCAAAAAGAAGGACAACTAAGGAGAAATAAAACAGCCAGAGGGATTTGTTCTTCCAAATGAGTGACATTTGGGACGTATGTAATTGGGCATAGGCAAAGTACAGGTTCAATTTAAATCTTAAAGTACAACTAAATACTCCTATATGACAGTCTAAAGTCCCAGATCCAATTGCACAAATTTCATAATGTAAACAAAAAATTTATTTTACCTTTCCCTTGGAGGGTTTCAGCAACTGTAGTGCTACAGGTTTGTGAAATAGCAATGGCCACTCTAAAAGCCACACTCTCTGCCTTGAACCTCCAACTGTATTGCAAGCAGGTATGACCTACATGAGAGTTGCAACTTTGCTCTTGATTCAGGAGCAGTGCAGCAATGTTGCCACCTCATCACAGGATGCTGCATTAGGTGGTCTTCGCTCGCAGGACCAACAGGTCCATCAGGTGCAGGGAGACTAAGAGAAGTGCAGTAAGAAGTAAGTGCAGATAGACGTGTAATTAGGTGCTGCATCACATTTTTTTTAATGGGAGGCCATAATCACACTAGTCCACGTGCTCCTGACCATAAGTATGGGCCACTGTGCTTTGTTTGCCTGAGCAGATTTATAGCTCTATCCCAGCATTAGCAAGATATGTCCATGGTGGAAAACATAAGTAGAAACCTCTGAAAGAAAGGTTATGCCCATCCTGGGGCTTTGCTTCCTCTGCTACACCTACTTCCCAGTTCATATCTATTTATTTCTTTTATCTTTTGCTCAAAATTATTCTTGGTTTAGAAGCTCTGCTCTAGCTCTTAGGAATTAAATTGAATAAACAATGAGTTTCCTGTGTTTCCATTCCTCTGTTCATTTGTAATTTTTTTTTCTTTTCTTCCCTCCACTTCTAGGTCAATGAGAATGCAAAGCAGGATTTGAAAGACGGTTTATGGCTCTACAATACAGAGAATAATGTCGGGTTGAAGAACGCATGGAACATTATTCAAGCTGAAGTGGGTTTTTCTCCTTTCCATACATGTCTTATGCACGGCACTGTGAGAAATGCGGAAAATGCATTGTTGATTAGATATCAGATTTCTGGGTATTGCCACACAGACATAAAGATGAATTTCTGATTTCATTTTAAATTAAGAACAAAAGAAAAATCTTAGAACTGAATGTTTAAATGGATTAAATTGCATATTTCAAAGTAGCATTTTTACAAATCTCCTCTTGGTTTTGCAGATAGAAAACTGATTTTGCAAAATAAATGTCTCTAGTCCAGAGATATCTATTGAAAGTATGTTTATGTTACAAAACCACCTAACCAAGTCTATAGAATACTTAGCCACGCCATTTTACTCAGGACACACTCTCGTGTAAACATGCTCCTCCCTCCTCATTTTTTTACTTTTTGTCAGTGATAGAGACCTATAAATGTAATCTAAAAAAAAAAGTAAATCGATGTATCAAAAGATACTCTAAAGGGGTAGCCAAACTCTGGCCCTCCAGCTGTGGTGAAACTACAAATCCCATGATGCATCTCTCTCCAGGGGTCGTGGCTGTGAGAATCTTGCAATGCCTCATGGGATTTGTAGTTCCACCACAGCTGGAGGGCCAGAGTTTGGCTAGTCTAAAGCAATCCCAGGGTATAAGGGTACTATTTGGGGCTCCCTTGACTAATCATGCCTCACAGTCTATCCAGACCCCTTGGCTAATGACACATACTAGATTGAAGAGGGATGGTATCGGCCAACATTTCCCAACCTTTTTCGGTCACGGCACTCTTAAAAAGTATGCAAAATCTTGAGGCACCCCAGTGTAAACTGTAAAAAACATAAATGTGAAAAATGATGTATGGACTCTTCAAAATCCATAACATATCCTTATCTAGTATGGATTTTAAGGGGGGGGCTGGATGGAGGCAAACTTTTCTGAATGGATCCCAAAATTCCTTTATTAACATCTTTTGTTTCCACGATGCAGGAGGCTTGCCTATCTGCACCATGGAAAGGCATGGCGCTGTGTGTACATTTCAAGGCATCCTATTTGAAACCAAAAGGCACTCCAGGGTGCCGCATCACCCTGGTTCATAAAGGCTGGTTTATGCTATGGCCTTGCTGACTAAAGGGGGTTCCCTGTCCATTTTGCTAGTAGTGAGTTAACAGCTGTCTTATTGGCCTGCTGTGTTTTATTTATCATTCTATTTAGATGCATTACGCTGCCCTGGGCAAAACCATGAAAAGGCTGTGGGCAGAGTACAGATAGCCTGGTAAAAGCCATCTACACAAACACTTTTTTCTTGCTTTAATGTGCAATCTCTCACTTCTCTTGCTGCTTTTTGTTAATGTAAAATAAATAAGGAATCTAAGTGGGAGAATGGGACACTAAGAGCTTTGTGTAGACTTTTTTTAGGAATGTTGCATATTGAATTAAAACAGTGCACTATTCAAATGCATGCCTTTGAACACAAAACTCAGCAAATGTTGCATTTGACCTATTTTGATTGCCTTACAAACTGCTCTTAATTAGGCCTGCTGCATGCAAAGTAAAGTCAATTCAAATCTGTGTTTAAAGTGCTTTTTAAAATCAGTTCTAATGCAGGGAAATGCAGGGGGGAAAAGACACCTAAATTAGCCCTTTTAATAACTGCAGTGGGTAGGTGGAGCTGAGAACTTGTCATGGGGTGAATCAGCCTGGCTGCAGTCACTGTGTTCAGACTGACCTTTAAACAGAAGAGCAAAACCTATGTCACTGCGAACGTTTTGCATAGCACGCTTTCCCATGGTACAAACTAATGGATACAATTTTATTCACTGGTTTATGATGGCTTGTTTCTGTTTTATATAGATGCATTGCTGCGGGGTGACAGATTACACAGATTGGTACCCAGTACTGGGAGAGAACACAGTTCCCGATCGATGCTGTATGGAGAATTCGCAAGACTGCGGTCACAACTCTACAGGCTTAGTGTGGAGAACGGTAAGTTTGATTCACACATTCGTAGGTGCAGTGAGGCCTGAAATTTTGTTGCTCAATGGTCGCTGAGCCTGCATTTGTTTAAAGGCTTTGGGGTGTTACACCTTCTACTGTTACATTTTTCATGATATAAAATAAATAAAAAATCCAACATAGTGATAACCCCTTATAATGGGCACATCAGGTGTGTGTATGGGTGAATTGACCCTTTACATTTTTCAAACATTTTTGATGATATTTACCTTAATATCTGTGAATGTTAAAGAATGGATTTTCACAATTTGTAGGATTAGGGAAACTTTCGCAAACATTTTTTATATATTTATATTTTATAAAGATGGACTGAGCTCTGTTGAAATGTTGACAATAAAATTTCTAGACACTAGATGGAACTGAGGAGTACAGGAATTTACTATTCTCCTCGGCTCCATCTAGTGATGGGAATGCCCTGCAAACTGCATTCGTATGGCTGGGCGGAACATTTGTAAATCATCCTGCATGTGTATGCATACTGTAAGGTTATGTACCTAATTTAATTGAAAAAAAATGAATGTCCGTTGAGTCAAGCCTCTCCTCATCTGCAATTTTGGTCCAGGGAAAATCCCTTGGGCATATGTCGCCAGGACAATGGTTTCTTTCCTGCAAGAAAATATTCACATTCAATCCAAAAATGTCATGTTCATTTTCATTCAGTTTTAGTTGCATTGAATGATCGATTGTTTGATCATATTTAATACATTGTGTGGCTACATCTAAACATGTTCATTAAGTGGCCTCTAGGATATATATTTTCCATACTGGACACACCTAGTTTGTATCACTTTTCTTTGTAATTGAAATTTAACATTTTATTAACTTCAAGGGAATGTATGCCTAAAAACAAAAATATATCATATTGCAGCTTATCAGTCCTTAGATGTGGTGGCTGCATTTGTTTTAATTTTTTTCAGGCTAAGCACATTTTGAGTACAGAAAATACCTGTCAATCTTGCCAGAAATGCCGTGTCCTTGTCACTTCCTGTGAGCTGCAAAGAAAGCACAAACATCCTTAGCTTTTTTGTGTAAACTATATTATTTCCATCAATTCCCTATGTAATGGAGATTAACAAAAGTCTACTTATATGAGGACATGTCCATGTCATGCTGTACATGTCCAGTCTGTGTGACAACCATGGATACAATGGAGAAATAAGTGTAGACATGGAGGGACAGAAATTGTGTTATTTGTAGAATCATCAGGTGAAAATAAGGGAATAAAAGCCTGAAAAAAGAAAACAAATGCAGCCACTAGATCCAAGGACTGGTAACCAGGGCCGGTGCTAGGATTTTTGCCAACACAGGCAAAGTTGAATTTTTGCGCCCCACCCCACAACCAACCCCCTAACCCCCCAGACCCCCTGTCGTGCTGGGCCTGCTCCCTATCAGCGTGGGTTTTTTTCACTTACCTTCGGTGCGTGAGAGCAGCGGCGAGTCAGCGCTGGTCCAGTGGGAGGAGCTCCAGGTGGGGTCCT